TATATATATAATCTCCGAATATAAGTTTCAAATCTCCAAAGTTATCTTCGTACACTGGACAACATAGAAAAACGTAATACGTGTCGCAATAACCAAACTGCTTGATGTACTCACCCAATATGGCGTTTGCAAAGCTAATTCTTGTCCAGCAACCCACTGATAGTGTGGCACGTGCTACCACCAGTTCTTAGTGCCCTAAACTACATCTGATGTCCGATACCACCCGCTGACCAATATGACCCGACCTTCCCCTGTACGAGTTAGACGTCCCCGCGCTCAAGAAACCATGCGCCTATTCCACTTCACCTCATAATACGTCTGTCACCTAGTTTTAAACCGTTTTTGGCGTTAAATAATAAATAAAAGTTATGTACAATGGCTTCGAGGGTTTTGATTAACATGTGTTTCGGATTGCAGGTAAACTTTGTGTTACTCTAATATTATATACGGCGAATTTCTAATTTTTGGACGTAAATATATTTGATGAAGGCTTGGCTGTAATTTTCTACCCAGCAGTGTCACACATACGAGACTTTCTGTTGATGGTTTCTTATAAATTGTGCAAATACGTCATATTATACCTTGCGTACCTATTATAAAGGGAGGATTTTGTTGATTGTGTTTTATTAAATAATAGATGATATAACATTCTCAAAAAAATATTTCAGAGAGTAAAGGAAGATAATAAGAATACACTAGAGTTCTTGTAAATCCTTAAAAATAATTTATTTCATAATCACCAGTAACAGTTCCAATAACAATGGTTGCACTAATGTGCTTATAGCATACTTATTATTAATTTGAATATTATCTACCTAAAATAATTTTAAACAGTGATGGTTTCTATCAATGAAAAATACATTCATGCAGTACGATCTACATTATTGCCGTAAGAACGGTCATTTGTTTTCTAGTACCGCACATTTCAAAAATGATATTCACTGTTGAGATAAGTTTGCTTTCTATTCGGACTAGTCGCCCATTTTTTCCTTGATACTGTGCGTACCCCGGCTCAGCATGGCTTGTTTGGGAATTGCAACTGAAAATGGGCCGAGCAGTCATCCAGAGTATTACGAAAAAGGGCGAGTGAATAGAAGCAATTGTGTGCATCAAGAAGCAAGGGATAGTAAAAATGGAACTTAGTTCGTGTAATAGCATTGATTAATTAAATTTTGGTGAAGTAACGTCTTTAGTCCTGTTTATTAGATATCAGATGTCATAGTCATATAACCCCTGTGAGTTTGGCGCAGTAGTGTGTGATCAATTCCACATTTTTAAAATTTTTGGAAGAGGCGTTTTCAGTCGGTTTAGACATGTTCTAGCGAGGCAATAGTCCATTAATTAGTTAAAATTATTTGATAGAGTATCTTCTACAATAACTAAGCTAGATAAGTCTTCCAATCTGGTTAATGGAAAGAATGTGGGATGTATACACAAAAGTAATAATATTAATAATTTAACATTCATGTATGTTTTTGGAAAATCAAAGTGGCAAATTTTCAGAAAATGTTCTGTTTTGACATATTCTGAAATACGTTTCGCGTAGCCTCACATAAATTCACATAAATTTATTAATGTTTGGAAATGAAAACAAATTTGGATGTTATAGTTTAGTATGAAAGTATTAAAAATAAAATGCACAGTAATGAGATGAAATTACGAAATATAAGTAAAAATATATGTGGGAGGCCTAATTAAAAAATATATAAATAGGTGAGAGAGAACTTACCAAAACTTTTTAAGGTTGATTACTGGAGTTGGATATTGTGGCAAGTTCTCTCTCATCTATTCACGTTAAACTATTACGCGAAACGTTGTTTCAGAATTAGTAAAAATAAAGCATTTTTTGAAAATGTGTTACTTTGATTATCCAAAAAGAAAAAAAAGGATGACTGCCTGTTAAATTGTTAATACTATGTGAGCTTATTCTACTTTTTGTATTTTGGCTGTTTCAAAGTAATAATACTCTGATTGCCAATTACTCAAATTTTCTCTTAACCATCGTGTTTATGAAATAGTGAGAATGGATCGCTCTGTTAGGGTCTATAAAAAGTATTGTATAACCTCGTGTGCAGAATTAAGGCAAGAATGCTGGGAAGTAATGTTTAAACATCGCCGTTACGAACGGAAGTGTTTTAAAAAAAGCCGTTTCATGCTGGTCATTGTACAGATAAAAAGGGCAGAAGAAATTGAAAATGGAAAGTGGAGGAAGTACTACATTTCACAGCGCTGTTAACGCACGAACAACGTGAAAGGAAATTAAAGCTAATTAAAAAACACTATTCTTTAAATAAAACATAAATACACCTAAAAGAAATATGTCCTTATTGGATTATATGTTACAAAAACATTAAAATTAATATTTTAATCTTAAATTTAATACTATTGTTTAAACGGGTTACCCGTGCATTACAGCGCTAAATTGGAGGCTTGCTCCAAATTTTTTATTAATTTGTAAAATAAACAAATTTAAAACTGATAAAATTTTAGAATCTTGTATTCTCTGAGGGATCATTGGATCACCAACGGGTTAATGTGAAAGTGTGAAATGTATGGAAGTTGTGAAGATGTAATACAAATTCTGCCTATGGTGAACGACAAGCGTTAAATACTTATACATTTTAAACGATAGCGCAAACAAATCGGGATATCACATTTAAACAAATGAAAGTTAAGTGTAATTTGGACTATAAGTGTGCAATAAACTCAATTTTAGACTTATTTGATAGACTCTGAGTTGCCTTCCTTTAATGCCTGACTAAGCCAAGTGTATTTCGATGTTTTTCTTGTGCTTCATTATTTTTCATGACATTTGTTCGACCCTTGTTTCTTGGTGCACAGCTAGTAGTAAGCAGAGTGTAAGTTGAAAGAGCTTCAATAAATAGGTGGAAATTTAAATCATTGAGTGAATGGATAAATTGCATACGCAGGTTGCATATTAACATTGGATTGCTGCTCTAAGTGGAGATTTCTTCTGTTCTTGCGGACAGCACACCAGAGACGGAGTGTGATATGATACACAACTTCCACAAGGCTCATGAAGCTGAAGCCCATAAAGAGGCCAAGAAGTCCACCGGTACTTGCTGAAACAAAATATTTTTTTAAAGCTGCTATTTTTCTACGTGAAAATGCAAATCAGTGTCTTGAACATAAAGAAATTATTCACTTACAACAAACTTTTCACGTGCACGAATATTTGGTAAAGAGGTCCCCAGATTAAAACAAGTTGACAGAATGTCGCATGGCTAATAAAACCAATTAATTATTTCGATTAACTGAATATCAACGTGTTAATTTGCAAGCAAAATCAGCCAAAATTACATTTAACATTTGGCCAATAGAAACTCAAGACATTTTCTTTAAAATAATATAATAATGATAACAAAATAACCATAATATTATAAAATAACATTTCTGATGGTTTTATTAATGGCAATGTTCAGGTCTAAAGCCAGATCTTCTGTCTGACCACTGATAGATAACGCAATAAAATACGTACATCCTGAACATATTCAATGTCTCTAACACATTTCTGTTTATTGACCTCCCAACATCATATTAGGAAATGAAAATCATCCAAAGGCTTGGGGCAGTAAAAAGGTAAGAAACACATTAACTAAGCCCGAGAAAATAATATTTACAAATAGTAGGATTATTCCTGCAGCATCTGACGAAAAGTTTGTTGATCCTTCAACATACGCCAGCACTAGTTACTGATAGTTCGCAATTGAGTTCTCATGATTTATTTGCGAAAAAATAAGCCAGATCAAGACGGAGATCAGCAGACGTAACGTGGTTGAAGTAATATTTCTCTTAGGCGGCTCCACACATTCGGCAGCCGCCGAGCAGTGAGCTTCTGCTCGCCCAATCCCGAACAGCTGATGTGTTCGGCGAATGTTCGCTCCCTTTGATGTGTCCTAAAGACAAGCGGTGGGTAGGGCTAATACCGAACGTTCGGCACTCGGCGAATAGCGAGCAACCCTTACGCCCTACTTGGGATTCGGCGAGCAGTTGCTCGGGTTTATATGTGTGAAGTCGCCTTTATAACTGGTTAACGAGATGAAAATGAAGTGAAAGTTCACTTCACGACAGTAATAAAGACTAAACTTTTGAACCACTATCCTCCCCGTGCACGCACACGCACACGCACACGCACACGCACACGCACACACGCCCACACGCACGCGCGCGCACACGCACACGCACGCATACATACACACGCGCGCGCACACACACACACGCACGCGCGCGCACACACACACACACATACATTTTTATATATATTGTATTATATTTTATATAATACTGGTTGACAGTGAATTTGTTAAATGCCTAACTGTACTCGCTTCTTATGTAGTGTAGCGAATACAACTACAAAAGATTCCCACCAGACTTAGTGTTTGTGTAACTATGTATTTGTATTTACCAAAATGTGCGATTACACATACAGTGTGTCCAGGGAGGAAACGTCCAAATTTCGAAAAAGCACTTAAGTTAAGTAATTGTAAGGATTTTTGTGTAATATACTCCTTGAATATTCCGAATGGCTGAGCCGCAATAAGCGCTCAAAAGATGATTTGAAAAAATACTTTCTATGCCAAAATTTGCATTGCAGAAGCATATAAATGCTTGCATATAAACGTCGAAATTTCAAAAAAGCACTTCAGTTAAGTAATTGAATGGATTTTTGTCTAATAAACTTCTTGGATATTCCGAATGGCTGAACCGTAATAAACATTGGAAGGCTGATATAAAAATTCTTGTTATGCAAAAATTTGCATTGCCAAAGCATTTAACATCGGAAACATATTTATTTTTTTATTATTTACAAAAGAAATAAATATATTTGGTCACAAAGAAAAATTAACTCATAAGAAAGCAGTTGAATTGTGTCAATTGGGTGCTTTTTTATTTGTGTTAATTTTTCTTTCTGAACAAATATATTTATTTCTTTTGTAAATAATAAAAAAATATGTTTCTGGTCTTAAATGCTTTCGCAATGCAAATTTTTGCGGAACAAGATTTTTTATATCAGCCTTCCAATATTTATTACGGCTCAGCCATTCGGAATATCCAAGGAGTTTATAAGAAAATATGCTTAAAATTGTCTTAAGAGCATTTGTTTTTCGAAGTTTCGACAATTTCCGCCCTGGAACCTGTATTTCGCTGAGAGCTACGTGTCGTTTGTGCTGAAACGCTAGTTGATTGCAGGTTTTTTAGTATTCAATACTTAAAAGCTAGTCACCAGCAAAGTATTATATTGTAGATTTCACTGAAGGTATGAAATAGACGCTGGATCAAATCAGTTGAGCAACTTAGGGAACTGCGAAGTGAAGTGCAGTGACTCACGTATACGACGCGCCGACTCGACGCTTTGTGTACGTGAGTTACTACACGTCTGTTTCGCTTTGCGTATCGAATGAGAAAGTTGATATAACTATATGGTGCACGACTCATCTTCCCATTGCAAGGCAATCTTAAAATGCTTGGTATGTACCGAGAAAAGCTTACGATCGTACATATTTCTGAGAGAACAACGAGAAATTGGCCAAAATTTTGAATTTTATTTTTGTTACCTTGTTTGAAGAGAGGTTTGATCTTAGCTCTTTTGAAAATATCTGAAAATGTACCGGTGCTAAAGAATGTGTTAAATATGTGAGTTACCAGTTGTATAGTGTCAAGCGCTCAAGTACGCACACACGTTTCACAAACAATTCGGAATTCATCTAAACCGACGGAATATTTACAACAGTCGTTTAAATGACTCTTCTGTTCTCTCCATACCACTGTAATACCAAAAGATAAAGATTTCTGCTTCTGTTCATACCATTTTCGTAAACCTGCAACACATGTGTGACAAACACTATGTGGGGTCCAAGATTTATCTTCATGCCCTAACTGAATGCCGAAGTTAGCGTGATATGCTGTCCTTACAAACGAGATTATTTTTCCCATCTGAGGTTTAGTGTAAGTGAGCCACGTATACTCGGGGGGGGGGGTATTGAAACAACCTTCTACAATTTATTCTTCTGTACAGATCCAGCACATTCAGTCAGAATACTACACGTAATTACATGGGGCAGAGCCATATGAGACTCGCACGTCCACCAACAGAGTACCATGGACCGGAAACCGCACATCATACTGCGTGTTGCGGGTACAAGCCCTGATTGTGGCTGTCAACCCATCATACAGGTGGCGAATAGTGTCCAGTGGTACACTGTTCCACGCCTCACGTAGAGAAGGCAGAGTTCTTGGGGGAGTTGCGACACGGGTCATGCGTTGGCTCATCATATCCCACACATGCTCGAACCGGCGAGCGTGCCGGCCAGGGCAGTTGACGAACATCGCGGAGAACGTGTTGGGTAGCGCAGGCACTGTGAGGGCGGGTGTTGTCCTGCTGAAGTAGTAAGAAAGGTATCAGCACAGGCCGCACAACGAACTGGATGTATCTAGCCCCGACTAGACCTTGTACTGGATGTATCTAGGTCAATGATCCCTCCACGAACACCAAAGGCGAACGCGCGTTGTAGCTGATGGCATCCCACACCATCACTCCCGGGCTGGGCTCTACGTGACGTGGACGAACACACTCCGGACGCACGCATTCGCCTATGCGACGCCGCACAAGCACACGACCATCACTGGCCGGCAGGCTGAAGTGGCTTTCATCCCTGAACACCACTGCACGCCATTCCGTCTTAGAGCTGACACGCGCATTGCATCACGCCAGACGTGCCCGACGATGGTTCGGCGTGAGAGGCAGTCGGGCTAGCGTTATGCGTGATTGTAATCCTGCAGCAAGTAACCGGTTCCTATTGGTGCGTGGAGACACGTTGGTGGCCGAGATACAGGCCACGTGCGTGGGTGGTCGTACAGTCTGCCTTCACGATGTGTTGATCTTGACGTACGTCAGTGCTTCGCAGTCGCCCCAAAGTGGTTCTACGGCTAAGGGAATGCTCGTCTACCCATCGTCGCCAGCACCGCAGTGACGTCGCATCACGGCCCACGTGGTCTGCAATGCGCCGAAAGGACCACCGGGCTTCGCGCTGGCCGCCAATCCCACCTCGCTCAAAACGGCCCAGTTGCTTAAAGGACGAACGAGTGTGACACCGTGCCACACCTAAGTCACGACTAGACCTTCTTGCAGTGGATAGCGTCTTTTGAAACTGCGTAGTAGATGGCGCGTCCTGGTTATTTCGTTTCGCTGCCATTACCTCACCAAGCTTCAGTTATCAGTGAAATGTTAATCACGGCTTCTACGACCCCCATCCCTAACATCCCTTATCGCTTACTTCATTGCTCGTGCCCTTACCGGTGTTATAATACAGTTTTCCGCAAGTGTAAAACAAAAACCGTACGGATCACTTTCACATCTTTTTAATGAACTCGCTATTCATGGAAACAATTTTCCCACCAATTAGATGCACCTTTGTAACAAACAGTTCTCGCTAAATGCCAGCGAAGAACTAACTGCCTATAACTGGCATTGGAGAACGATCAACTTGTCTCCAAAGAGTACCGGTTGGCTTCCGTATAACAATACGCACGTTAATGAAATTGGGTAGAGCACGCAGTGATGAGCTCTTGTTCTTATTCCCTGACACTTGTTATTATTCCTTTTACCTCCTATAAGTGTGCTTAAACCTTGAATGGATGAATATGTCCTTCTTCATGCAGAATTGACATTTGTTTTTCTGAGGTTAGACCGATTACTTGTTTCCTTTAGAGGGTGTTTTCGGCTTAATTTTATTAAACTTTTATACTCTTTCTTCTCCAAAAATATAGCAGAATTTTTCAAATGTCAATGATTTGTTCTGTGTGTTGTGGTTACAATGTTTTCATTATCAACAACATGATGCGATGTCATTTCACAGCCTCCGAGGAAAAGGCTACAAATTCTAAAACCATTTTGCAAAGTTTCTGGCTTTATTACGCGCACTACCTTCTGCAACACCGGAGCTAAGTCTTTTCTAGAGATAATCTCAGAAGGATGTTATCGACGACATGTTAGAACTCCTTTCTTCCACGAACTCGTGATACAGCGTGATACGATGAAACACAGCACCATCTGCTGGTTAGAGAATTCATATGGCTTTCGGATGCAGTGCTATTAAAACTATTTGCAACAGAGCTCTCTCGTCTGAAACGTAAAGTGACTGTTGTGATCATCAACGAAAAGAAGACGACACGTGGAGTACACCACTAAATATTGAAGAGTACCTACGCTCACTGCCAAGTTACATTTAATTTATATTTCGGGGTTGCAATCTTAAAAACACACAACACAGAGACTACATGATGCTCGCTGTTGAAAACCTTATTATTACCCTCTTACAGTTGCTGTGCCCATCACTATACTGGTGCCCTCGACTGTACAGGTTACCCTACATTACCAGCGTTCATTTGATGTTTAATCAATCGTAAAATTTCGCAGAAACTAGATATGTGGATTCAGTTTCTACACCGTCCAATCAGGTTGCAACAACGATTCAGTGTCACCCTGCTTTTAATAAATAGCAGCGATTTCGTCGCAGCCCTGTGTTACGTACGACATTGCGAGTGCTAATATAAAATACGAAAATCCAAAACATTTGCAAAAATTTCGTGGTAGAAAAAACTAAAATTACATATGTAATGAAGATGAAAAACGAATTCATAATTAGCCATTTTCAAAAAGACGGCAAATCGTCACAGCCCTATGTAATTTGAGTAACAATATTACCCACAGAATTCTTAAAAGACGTGCACAGACGGTGAAGTTACTTTTATATCCAGAAGCAAAACAAGCGGCCATCTCAGCATTCGCTCAAAGGATCAAGGAAACTGAACGAAATATCTGACCGAGATGGAGGTCATTGACCCAGAAGTTGAAGTGCAATATTACTTACAGGTTATTTGGAATTATAAACTCCAAATGATCATTGATATATTAAAAATAATTTTTAAAGTTAATTTCACTTTCCTTTTTGATGCTCGGAATAGTCTCTAATTTTATACAAACAGTTATGCAGCACAAAATATTTTAAATGGAACTTAAACTTGTTTATCGAATTTAATAGTTTAATGACATTTGGAAATGTTTTGTATGTGAATGTATTGTATGTGCATTTTTTGTAGTGGGCTGTTGCTACCGACATCTGAGGAATTTGATTACTACATCGAGTGTTATCGTTATAGACATCGTCATTAGCAGAAAATATATTCTCACCCTTGAGTAAATAATTTTGGACAAAAACCACTGATTCGTAAATCAAGAGGCAACGTAATGGTAAAAATCCTAGCTTAAAAAAGAGGTTTCTAAGAATCATCTGGGTAGGCTTAGCTTATTATTAGTACGATTTTTTTGTAATCTAAACGTCTGTGAGCTACACTTGTGTTTCCCCAGACTAGTATACCATATTTCAGGCGGGAATGAACGTTCGCGAAATATACGCTACGAGCCGTACGGAGGCTGACTGGATTTGAAAGAATTCTGAATGCGTTTGATATTGAACTTAATTTTCTGTTCAATTCATTTAAATGGACGTTCCATTTGAGATTTGACTGAATTGAGAAACCCCAAAATGTTGCCTTAACTTCAATTGCACATTTGCACAGCATCAATTGCACATCGTTCATTTTCCATGGAGTATGTAATTGTTTATTTGAAATGGAAAACTGCAATGAAACTATTTCCCCGTCGTTTACTATTAATTTAAAATTACGGAACCCATTTGGAACATTGTTTCTGTACTATTAACAATTTCTGTATTTACAAAAATCGTATCATCCGCAAAGAGAACTGTTCTTGTATTTCGAATCCTCAAGGGCATGTCTTTTACGTATAGTAGAAAGAGAATATGGCCTAAACTCGAACCATGCGGGACCCCTCGTGCAATTGGCAATGAATCGGAAAGGTTTGTATATAATGTCCGATCATTTCAGTACGGTTTTCTACACTGATATAATGTTTTAAGATATAAAGATAACAAGACAATTGATATAGAATAACAGAGCAAGTGAAAGTTCTTTAAGATATAAAGATAACTAACCAACAATCTAGAGCAAGTGAAATATGACGTCATGAGATTTTGAAAGATCCAACTATTCCAATAGGTGCTTCATTTTGATCCACACCAAAAGCGGTTTCTGTAAGAAATGAAAATATGGCTGTTTTCATTGATTTTGATTTCCTGAATCAATGTTGACAATCCGGAAACGCCTCTTTGTTTCTGAGAAAGGTTTCCATTTGTACGTAACAAACTCTCTCTAATATTAAAAAAAAAAAACTGACACAGGAGAAATTGGCCGATAATTTTCGGCCAATTCGCTTTTGTTGCCTTTTTTGAAGAGCGGTTAGCTGTTTTGAAAATAATAAGATGGCTGGTGAGATAGATACCTTCCAATAATTAAGTAAATAAAAGGTGTTGTCCATTATCAAAAGTATATTTTAACTTAAGATATTTTTGATGGCGTAGATATCATCATCAGAGCTATCTTGCTGTCTCTGGGACAGCGCTAGTAAGAACCCCTTTCTGTACGAGACGTACAGAAAAGCAGACGAGTGCGGTGAGCAAGACAGTTGCAATGCCTATTTATTTACGAATGTGTAATATTTGTCAAAACTGACTTACTTAACGGTGGGAATATATTTTCATGCAATACCGATATTTAAAATTACAACACACGTCGAAAAAGTCACGTTCATCAAGTGTCTGTATCAACAGCTTACTACCAGAAATCCAACTACAATACATGTTACTTTACAACGCATTGCCAGATGACATTAAACAATTGAAGTCGATTCACAAATTTAAGTTAAAGGTAAAATCTTTTCTGCTACGTAACTGTTTCTATACTATTAGAGATAATACTGATCATCAAAAAGAAAAATAATTTTTCTTGTTTATTTTAACAAAGCAGTAATACATAATGAATTGGTTTACCTTCGTTTTGTATAATTTTTTAAAAGACTTAATATGCTTGTAACAAATAATGTACTTCAGCTTCCGGGTCAATGCCCCCATCTTCTGAGGGGGGTCAGGTTTTTGTCCATTTTCCCCGATACATTGAGCAAATGCTGAGACGGCCCCTTGTTCTGCTTGTGGACGTAAATGTAGATTCACTATGTGCACGTTTTGTTGAACTCTCCTTTTGCTTGTAGTCGTAGGAGCAGTCATGAGGGCGAGTTACCATTTTGTTGGCAATGCAGAAAAATAAAATCTGCAATTCGTTTACTGTTGCAAATAAGTTGTGGATAACTCGGGAACGAAAATGTCTAGATTTTCATAAGTTGCTAATCTCGCGCTTTTTAAATTTTTATTTTTATTTATTTATCTTTAACTTTTACTCATCTTTTAACTATTTATAGTTCAGATGATGCCAAGGGATTCTGGAACTTAAGAAAACGTGCGCTGATGATCTTCTCCCCCATATGTCACATGCAGTTTTTAAAGTTTTTGACTAAATAAATCTAAAAGTTCTCTATCTCGTAAGAAAATATTATCCGCCGCATGCATAGCAGAAATGAAATGGCCAAATTTTTAAAAATGTCACAAACGCTAAAAATGCATTTTGAAACCATTGATCAGCAGAGAAATTAAGAAATAATGCTACGCAAATGCGGATGTGTCTCCGATTATTATTGGAAATAGAATATTTACGAAAATATGGATAGGGAATAGTTATCTGCACGAAGCTAAGGAGCAGTTCATTGAGTTAGGATTATATCACGTCGGTGTTTTGACTGCTGAATATTAGAGAGAAGAATGCTAGGGGTTCAATTAAGAAAACATGTCTCTCAATTAGGGGGGGGATACAAGAAAAAGGCTGAAAATTATTGCTCTAATATGTTGTACGAGTATTCTCAGAATCCAAGTTTTTTGGGTCATTGATACCGAATGTTTGATTTACGGCAAACCATCTATCTGTCTGTTGTCTACACTAGCACCTAAACAGTTTTGACGATTTTCTCCAAAATTGACATTCCGTGATCGATCTTTCAGATCTCAAGAATGCCTTCCACTTTGAAATGGATATGTGATTTTTTTTGTTTACCTTACAGGAAAGCTTAACATGTTCTAACTTTTGTCAAAAATAGCTCCAAATGTTAGGATAACATTTTTCTCCGACTGAGCCATGTGCGTATAAAATTGCACAGATATTACTTTTTGGAACTCTAAATTTTCCAAAATTGCAAAAATTTTAACTTTTTTGTATGTGGTCCTACATCTACAATAATGGCGAGTTTATTCCTGAAAAACAGGCAAAGGTGGTTCAGAGCATCAGCTGATATCACTACAGTGCCTCGTACTCCCAGCCCGAGGCACTGTAGTGGTATTAGTATTTCTGGTCCCAGGATTCAGGTCCCGAGAGTGACAGGATTTTCGACACTACCTAGACAGCTAGTTCAAATTCAGCCGTTGCCTGGAGGAGAATTCTAGTGGCCGGCTGCTCTGATCAATAATTTTCCGTGGTTTCTCCATTGAACTCCAGGCGAATGATGGAGTATCCTAACAAAGGGGTCACGGACCTCGGCCGATTTTTCCCCTTCCTTGCCCTGTCCTCAACTGTTACTTACACACTTAGTCTGCTGAGAGGCTCTCTTGCTGTGCTTCTGACCCGTTAAAGTTTTCAGTTCATCTTAAACGTCATATATAGTTTTGGAACTATGTTTTTCGAGTTTTATAAATGCGCAATACAAAGGAACACAATGTTGACTTATAAACAAATCATGCAGGAGACATTCAGTTTTCAGAAATAGTAATCGAAAAATGAATCAAATATATTATCCAGTTTATAGTACTTACATAGGAACTCAGTAAAACCGAACAATTCGCCTTTCAGATGACTTGTGTATTGTGATTCAACAAAGAATAAATGTACAATTGCCATGTTTTTTCTGAAAGAAAATTTATTCAATTTAGAAATATGAAATATTCCTAAATTGTAATACAACAGCACTTCATTATATAATTAATATTTTCAACAAAATACCTGTAAAACTTACTTGAAATATGTCAAATTTGAGTCTGCTATATAATCCGTAGAGAATGTGAATTCAGGAGCTATATTGCTAGAGGACAAATAAGTTCTGTAGTTTATTTCACTGCATCCTGGGAGGCAATTACATTTTGGTTTGAGTACGGTGTTTGCTGTAACTTCTTCTTCTACAACATTTACTTCCATTTCCTCTAAAACATTCGAGTTCAAGTATATTAGTAACTTATAAAATTAAATGTATTAATCAGTAACATGGAAAATACAGTCATTTGCGAGATGTGCAAACGATTATGTCATGAAAAACTATTTAGTTGTTGTTAACATTTACGCAGCAATTTTTGTTTTTGACTGGCTGAAATCGACAATAAAAGCTTTAAATATGCATGTGAATGAGCCACTATTGTAGTTCTTGACATGATTGTCGTAAGTTATGTTCATTCTTTTAATATGGTCTCATACTATTTATTATCTGTCACTGTATTTTCCAACTCTCTGAGAGTAAATGTCACAAATTTCTCGAGCATGTAGAAAGGATGAAGATGATATCATTTTGCCAATAAACATGAGGTTTAACTAAATTACACAAGTGACATTTGCGCTTGATTGTTAGACAACTTCTCATGCGCTGGTGTTCGGCTGGTACTCAAAATCTCTTTGCGCCAGATTGTGTCGATTGCCTGGTGACATATTTTTCTCTGCAGACAGTTAGTTTCTTATTTTCAGCCGTGTCGACAGAGTATGTACAATAATTCACGAGATAATCGTGAATTAAGGTCATTCAGAGTGTTTTAATAAAGGATAATGTTGAATGCTTGCGAACGTTTAAGTTCGCGCGCGCAAACTTTTTTTTTCGAAAATTGCAAAATGTTAACATGTCAAAACTATAAAATTGAAGATAGATGTTTGCCTGAGACAAAGACTTTAAAACGACAGCTCTTTAAAAAAGGTCAAGTAATTTTTTTGAAGAAACTAGTAGATTTCGTATTGTGTCTGAAATGTATAGACTTTCTATTTTTTCTCAAAAAACCCCTCCACATTTTTTCTTCAGATTTTTACTCTACAGAACTGTACTTAAAAGAATGGGGTGGGTTTCATTTTCGTTGAACTGTCTGAATTTTCGAAAATAGCAAATTTGGAGGGTATGTATAGTTGTAGCACCATTAATTTTTTCATTATTACACAGGATGTAATATCAGAAAAATAGTATTGGACTTGAATTTCCCAATGATGTAACAAGAGTTCAACATATATTATTTGATGACGTGAGGAAATGTTCATATCTGCAGCACTGTACTTTTGCTTGTACTACTAAAGAGTTTGACATTTGAAGTTCGGAAAATAGAAAATACTGTGACTAATTTATTCTTTAGAATTCATTTTTTAGACTACTTTCCGTTTAGACTTTATAATTGCGGAATATTTTTTAAAGTGTAAAAGAAATGGGTAATTATTTCTTAGAATCTAATAAGATACCTAGTGTGGCGTCTTGCCGGGGCAATAAATTACAGACGTGAACGGCTTGTAAATATTTAGTATTTATTAGAAATAAAATACTCCGACACCATAATACTATATACAATATTTACAAATAAATGACCGTTACAAGAAGGAACTTTCCCTGGTTACCACCACCGCTGGCCCGATAATTAATTACCATGTTCGGTGTGATGCACCAGTACCTTACGCGAGCATACCAGCGAGTATGCCGCACCTACCGTCACGACGTAGCACGCCGGCTTCGGTTCCCCGCCTCGGTCGCCTATGCATTACAATGCAACGCCGCGCACAACCCACACGACGCCTTACCGACGCGCCCAAGAATCAGATGAAAACAGAAGATCGAGCTAGGTCGGGATTCGCTTATATACCTTCTGGGCAGGCTGACGGAACTGCGTCACCCGCAGTGTCCGCCGACGCGTTTCCGCCGGGTCCGGGGTCTCCACGTTGCCTCCCACGAACTTCCCTTGCTCCCTAGCCTTTGTGCAGCCCAGCGTCTCTTCCGCCAGCGCTGTCCACGTGGCTGATATAGTACGTTTGTACTGGCGACAGATATGACGCCACACTAGCTAATATTTTTTACAAAATTTTTCAAGTCATTTTGTAATTTTTTGTTATTAAAAAATTAAAAGAAAATTACTTCTAGTTATTAACGTTTCCCAAAAATACTAATATAAAAATTGGAAATATTTCGGAATTTTTATCATGTATCTCGCAGATACAATAGCAAGAACGACCTTTTAAAGGTAGTAATCGAGGGTTAAAAATATAAATCTAAAAATTTTGTATCACTCAATATTTTCAACACGCGAAAATTCAGGGATCAACGAAAATGAGGCTTGGGACATACTTTTGAGAGTCCCTTGTTTTATTCGAGGAAATATTAAAGAAAAAGTTCGGGCGTTTTTTGAGAAACTGTTTTACTTTCTCACCCTTCTTTTGTAAGAAGTTAAAGTATTGTAACCCAGTGCTGGAAAACGGAAACTTTTTTACAGAAAAACTCTTACTGTTGGGCCTTGGAAATGAAAAAGGGGAAAAATCATATTCCTTTAATATTAATTTACTTCCTCTAACACGCACTGTAGCCAGAATTCATGTGTTGTCCTTGATACCGAAAAATCAATTGACGACAAAACGTCCGTCTGTGGTCAATGCTAGCGCCTAAACCGTTCTGTCTATTTTTTTTTTCAAAATTGATATTTCCCGATCCATCTATCGAACTTGAGGCTTTGCGGGTTCGAAACGGATATTTTGATTTTTGAGGGTACTTTACATGGAGCCTCATCAACATTCTCATAATTTTCTAAAAAATGGCCCCAAAATTTGTGATTAAACTTTGTTCCGGGATAGAGTGAAGAGCGTTTAACAGAATGGCGCAGGAAGTATTTTCGTAGATTCCCCTACTTTTTCGAAAATAGCGAAAGTGAAATTTTTCAGCGTCTTTCTACCCCTAAAACACCGAAGATAAGGCTTTTTTCCTAAATGAAATCTGATCTTTAAAGACAATGAAATAAAATCATGTACTATTTGTCTAAAATATGAGTACTTTTGCGTTATTTTGCACGAAATAGTATAGGAAATTGTTAATTTTTAAAAACATTTTTTCTCAAAAAACCGCTCTAAATGCTTTTTTAAAACGTCTTCCTCGTATCTATGAAAGAATGGTAAAAAAAGTGGTGCTAGTCCCATTTTTGGCAAACTCTTCGGAGTTTGGAAAATTGCAAGAAGTTAACATGTCAAAATTTTAAAATTGAAGATAGAGATTTTTGCCGTGACTATTCTAAAAAGTCAACTCTTTTAAGGTATCATACTTTTTTAAACGAATAGTTTGCACGTAATTTGTGGTTGAAATTAATGCAAATTAAAAAAAAAAATTCTCAAACATTGCTCCAATTTTTCTTTAATTTCTTTCCATGTATAACACGGTGTGTCTAAAAGAATGAAATAGACATCATTTTCGTTGATTTCTCTGAATGTTCGAAAATTGCATGTTGGATATATTGGGCTGAGAAAACTGGATTTTTAATCGTCGGCCCGAGGTCGAAAGTCAGACAATTTCCGTGGCGTAGAGGTAAGGCGCAAGGACCTGTGTTCCAGTCTCGGCGTAGGAAAAATGCTGGTTGAAAACAATTTTGCAGGTTTATGTACTAGTATAATATTGAGGGACAGTTAGGAATAATGCGAAAAAATATGTTCTGTTTTTGGATCACTTGTTTATATAGATTCTACATTTGTTCACATTTACATTGATTTTTTGTAATCCATTTTTTTCAGATGCCTCATATACGATGTTTCTCGATGGACACAAAATTACAAAAACGACTGGACTTGTTAAATTTTCCTTTCAAAAGCTGAAGATACAATGGGTCTGCGTTCTATACAGCGAAAATATTAGTCACCATTCTCACGTGTAGTTTGCGTCAATAATTTCATTTCTGGTATTCTAATATTGAATGAAAAAGTTCACAAACCTAGTGGAAGTGTTTTATCAAAGCAATACTTCAATGATGTACGTAGTGTTTTCCAAAATGTGCCATCATAATTGCTGACAGAATAACCAAGGAAGATGGTTTGGAATTCAAAGACTGCAAGAAATGATATCCGATTTCAGTGATTTTTTTTAATAAACATGCAGTGGAGAGAGTGTCCTTACAAAATATCCATTCTAAAGTAACAAATGGTTGTGTTTGGATGTACATATGACATATTGCTCGTGAGTCTGGCACAACTATGTTGTGTTGGCGTTATGTTGTTGCTATGGTAAACAATTATTAATAAAGGAAATTATGAAATAAATCTATTAATGTAATGAAATATTTTATTATTTATGCACAAACCTATTTTTGTGTGAACAAAGTATTATGGATCCAGCATCCAAGGCTTTGTATAGTAAATCAAACTGTAACTACGTACTTTGGATCAAGTATTCAAATGCTTTTTTAGTGCTTCAAAATATTTAATTTTTACTTCGGATCCCGAATCGAAGGGAACTTATGTCCTATAAAATTGTGTATGGTCATTAAGATTTTTATGAAGTGTATTTATCCGAAAGTTTTGAATATGTACCTCGAAACCTTTGGATAATACATCCAAATAATTCTATGAGTGTACTTTCAGTTTTCTTCAGTTACAGTTTTCTCAAAATAAATTTGCTTAATATCTGACTTACTTCTTGCAGCAAGCGCACAAGACTCATCATTTCGGCTACATATTCGGGTCTTTGAATCTTCTGAAAAATAAAACATCATGGGTTGAATTACAATATTGCTTAATACATTGCATATCATTCTAAGAACAGATTACAAAGCTGACGTTGGACATAAAAATTAAAACTATTTTCTTGCTGTTTTATATTGTCATCAACGGTACACAAGGAAATTATTATCTCAAAAATTGTCATTTAGGATGTTTTATCCTGAGTGGAGTCGTTAATTTCGCAATAAAATGTATTTTTTGCTGTACGTATTTTGTGAATTTTGTTTAGAAAATATTTGATAGTAAAATTATATAATTTTAGTGGATATTTCTTCACTCAAAAATAAATGACAATTTTTGGAATGTGTAATTTTTTCTTGTGCACTGAAGATGTGTCCATTGGTATTGTAGTTCATCCTTATCTCTAAAATTGTTTGATCATACTATTGAATTGGATAATGTTTCGCAGAAGTGGAACAAGGTCAACAAGGTCAGAAGACAATTAAATTGTACCCAACAACGCCTATAAACAAGCGAATAGAAGAAATGACGGCTCATTCCATTATGAATTGTGCGCACAATCGTTCTGGTGTGGGAGAAATCGGAAGTGCCAAGTTATCACCTGTAGCGATCTCTAGGAAGGCATCTGTGACGTCAGTGTTGGAAGCAGGGTAAGGGCCAGTTTCACCAACAGCCGAATAAAGTTGAGAGTAGTTACCTGAGAGTAAGCATTACTCTGCGATAGTTACTCTGGGGTAGAATATAAGCATTTCACTACGCTTGTGGAGGGTTATTTTACTCTAGAGTACATACTCTCTGATTTACTCCGCGAATCAGCTGAACGCGCAATATTTGAGAGCGATTCAAGAGGCTGTGAGTGGGAGTGACGCTGGTAACCACTGCGGACCAACGCGAACCTTTGATTAATTCCTTATATTCTATCATTCATTTGTTTCCGAGTTCTTGGCGGTGTCTTGGCGTTATAATCTTGTGTGGTGTTATAGTGATTTGAGTGAGCATAGTTTATTTCTTAGTTTTTGTGTCTTTATTTCTTAATAAATATTCATTCTTCTTTTATGAAGATGAGTTACTATTTTGTTAGCAATGAAGAAAAATCATATTTACAGTTCGTTTACCGATGGCAGTGCAAATAAATTTTCTATAACTCGGGAACGAAAATGTTTTGTTTTTTAAATACTTCTGATCTCTCATATTCCTAAATTTTATTATTATTATTTATTGTTTGTTTTATTTTTTAAACTTTTATTCGCCTTTTAACTGTTTGTAGTTCAAATGTTGGAAAGGGATTCTGGAATTGAAGAAAACGTGCGCAAATGATCTCCCCCATACGTTATATAGAGTTTTTACTAAATAAATAAATATTTTTTAGTACTTGTTGTCCATGTAGTTATTTTTTTCCTTTTGTTATCGTAGACGGTACGTACTACTTTTATTTCGTATCCACATTAGTGAAAATAAATTTAAAGTTCTCTACAGTTTCCATTGTATCTGATGAAGTTAACAGCTGATTTGGACTAACATAATCTCGTGACAAAATCTCGATCGCCATAATTAAAACCAATCCATTCTCTCCCGCACCCTTTGTCATTTCCCTAGTGGTTAATATTCCGAATCATCGTCTTCATATACTATAATTCATAATCGTCGAACCATAACAAAACTTCGGATGTACATTCACATTCAAAACGGGGCTTACTCCGGACTTTACCCGACGGAATTTCGCATTGTCAAGTTACTCTCGAATTTACACTTGAGTGAAGTGTTGGTGGAACGCTCCAAGAAGTTACTCTGGAGTAAATCATCTTTACTCCAGAGTAAACGCTCCTTCTTTGTTTGGTGAAACCGGCCCCAGGGGAAGCAGGCAGCGGCGAGGGGCCGAGCAGGAACGTGCGTTGCGTTCGTAGTGGTTGAGAACGCTGGTGTGGTGCAAGTGCAATGGGAGCCAAACGCGCAAATCTATGCAAAACGAAGTGAATCACGTTGCTGCATGATTACAGAGTGTGGCTGAAGGAAAGGTAAATGAAGAAACCAATTAATGTGAAAAATGCGACGTCCGTTTTAGGAAAAAGAGATTTTGTGAAGCGAACTTCAGGGGCGGACATGCACGGACTACTCATAGCAGTGGGCCACGCGAACACTATTTTCGGAATATAAGTTTAGACACTGAGTTTGGAATTTCAGAGTGTAGCAAAGTAGACTGTGAAAAGGCAACAAGCGTGAAAACAGTGAACACACAGTAGTTACTCTGTGCACACACATATAGTTTCGCTGGGTATGAACATAATTATTTCCGATCAGATTCAGTGTTTCACTTAAGCGCAAGTGTTTAGTTAATTTTGTTTCAGAAGCATACTCAGTTCAGCAAGGTTACAGCGTAAGTTAGTGTATTTTCTGTATTGGGGGTGAGAGGAAGGAATACTTGCTACCCGGACGCCATCCACGTGCGCACCGAGAGAGGTGTCTCAGGGAATCAACTGACGTCACTGCAGTGCCTCTGACCGCGAGGTCTTAGGTTCGAGTTCCAACGTTGGCAGGATTTTCGACACTAGCTAGACAGGTCAACATCAGTCGCTGTCTGGAGGAGATTTCTAGCGGACGACTGCTTTGACCGGTAGTTTTCCGTGGTTTCAACACCAGGAGAATGCCGGAGCAGTACCCTAACAAACGGATCATGGACCGCACGCGATCTTTTCTTCCTCTTTCATTTTCTATCTTCGCCCTTTACACACACACACTAATGCATTACACACACATGCACTACACTACCACAAATGCTGGGAGACCGGTCAAGAGCTTGGAGCTTGTCCCGGCTGGGGCGGTGCTCCGCTAGTGGAGATACCTGGTTCAAATCCATCATTAAGATTTTCTTGACTTCATATTAGATAGAAGTGATGTCAACTGGTATAAATTCAAGAATAAGCTTAGAGGATACCAAAATTTAAACTTGTAAACACTCCAGCGGAAATTGAATGCACAGTTGACTTAATCATTAATGCTATAACAAAAAATATTAACTGTACATGATATCACAACACAACTACTAACGCTGACTTATGTCAAAATCCATGGGATCCAAAATCCATTAAGAGTTTCTTTCCACATCAGTGGCGCTAATGTTTTCTTTTTATAGCCATATTTACATAACATTTACGGGGCTGGTAATCTCATCGCAGTCGTATTCATCAATAAGTAAATGCGATTATGATTTTCCTGCAATTATCATGTTCAGCAGTAGCTCTTTGTAATAAAAGTACATGTAGTTGAACTTTTTATCTTAAGCGGCCGTTAAGTACTTTTGACCAGTAAGAATGTGTGTGCAGGAAACTATTCTTACTTTTCTGCTGGTAAAGCAACATCAATTTGAACGATCCCTTGATCACGGCAAAGCGAAGCCTGCGTGTGAATAACGAAGTGCACATAAAATCACAACATCCACTACTTTAACAACAGGTCACTCAATAATCGGCACGATCCTTTAACTACAGATCTGGACGGATTAATGAGGAAAGGGTTGGTGCAAATCAGAGGAAAGGTTACTTCACTTGTACTGATTTTTTTCTTTTCTTTTACGTAAGGCCTAAAACCAGAAGAATGTTGTCTTCATGTGTATTTATGGTATTATATATACATAGTTTTGTCTAAGCACATTTAGTAATAAGCTGAAAAAATACAAGGCTTCAAGTTTTTTGTACTTGATACCCTTGATAAATGTTTTAATAACATTGTAGATAGTACTTGTTTAAGCACATACAATTAATAAATTGATAATTTACAAACCTTAATCTTATAGTTTTGTAACAAACTTTTTGTGCATAGAGAAAAGCGTGTATCTAAAATGGTCTAAACAGATTTATTAAGAACGACATTCTTGCTTCATTTTCGGTGTTCCCCAAGACACTTCGCGTGTTGGCGCGTTGGCGGGCGGCACTCACTGGGCATGTAGGGAAGCACGCAGAGGCACTGCTTGAGCGTGTAGTTGGCCTCGCACTCGAGCGCGCAGTTGCGCTGCGTGTAGGTGCGGTAGAACATGAGCGGATGCTCGCCGCTGAAGAAGCACTGGCGCTTGTCCACCGGGATGCCGCGCAGCTGCGGCGTGGAGTAGCTGATGCGCGGCCGCACGCCCACGCGCAGCTCCTCGCCCGGCGACACCACCAGCCCCATGTTGGCGATCTTGGGCGTCTCCACCGGGCTGTGCAGCACCACCTGCGCGCGCACCAGCCACGTCCAGTCAGTTTGGGTCTCATTCTTCGGAATATGGCCACATATTTATTTATTTAGTCAAAATACAGTAAAAAACTGTATGTGACGTAAGGGGAAGTATAATCGGCGCAGGTTTTTTTTTCGAGTTCCAGAATCCCATCCCTTCATTTTCACTATAAATAGTTGGAAGATGAGTGAAAGTTAAAGATAATAAATAAAAATAAAATTTAAAAAGCGCGGGAATAGCAACATTTGAAAAACTAGACATTTTCGTTCCCGAGTTATCCAAAACTTATTTTCAACGGTAAACGAACTGCAGATTTGATTTTTCTGCATTGCTAACAAAATAGTAACTCGCCCTTATGACTGCTCCTACCACTACAAGCAAAAGGAGAGTTCAACAAAATGTGCGCATAGTGAATCTACATTTACGTCCAGATGCAAAACAAAGGGACATCTCCGCATTTGCTCAATGGAGCGGGGAAACTGGACAAAAAGGATCTTCCAATGATGGGAGATTATTGCAGATATATTGTCAGAGACAGTAAACAGAAATACAAGAGTAAGTGACAAAACGCAAATCATTTATAAGCGAAACAATAAAAAAATTCCTTTGAAGATGTTTCAGTATTACAGCATGAATATGCGTGTCCCATTTTTAACTTGTTCTTACCTCATATGAAGCATGCTCATAAAATTGTGTAGTAATAAAACCGGACTGGAAATGCGGAAATTAGTATAGAATTTTGTTTATTTCAAATAATAAATATGTTCATATCTTTTGAAACCTGTGTGATAGAAACTTTTTATAATAATTTTCGAAATAATCCACCTACTTTCATCCTGGAGATATGAAAAAAGAAATGTTCCCTAGTGTTATTTTTGTCATTCCAGTGACTGGTGAATGTTCGCATAAAATCAATTTATTTATGAAACTAGAAAGTCAGAAAATTCCATTTCAAATATGCCAGTTTGAAATATACGATTTGAATTCACAATTCTTTGATTAAAATTTAGCCTATTGCGAGGTTCATTAAAAGCACGATGAAAGTGAACAAGGCAGACTATTTGAAATTCGGAGTATATGCCCTGTCCATTTTCATCCGTTTGATTTGCCGACATGATTTGTTCTTGCAATATTCTTTTTAGTTACGATATCGTAACAATGTAAGTCACGCGTGAAATCTAACACTTATCTCTAACTGCACTGATCGGGCAGTTTGAGGCATATTACAGAGGTTTTGCACATTGACGCTTAAAGATAAGCGGACCCGGCTATATTAACGTGACGCCTGAAATACCAATCACGCTCACCAAGTACATATGCTTCAATTAATTCTTCTGCGATAGCAGGGACGAACACATCCAGAGAGTAAAAAAAGTGGCCCTGGCCACTCTTTGTAATTGAATCTCAATGTTCTTTCCCGGAAACACACGATTATGACACCAGGCGGGCCATCGAACATAGAAGTACTAAATCGAAACTTAAGTATACAAAATCATGATGGAAAGATACAATGAAGACCCAAAACACTGGTATAGACACTGGTATGAAAATAAATAGATCTGGAGCCAACCAGAATACGGCGCTCTGGTCGGCAACAATTACATAAAACCACCAGAGTCTGCCACAGTTGATAGATCGGTTACTGATGCTACAATGACAGGTTACCACGATTTAAGTGAGTTTGAACGTGATGTTATAGTCAGCGCAAGAGAGGTGGGACATAGCATCTCCGAGGTTGGACTGGTTTTATAAGTCGACCCAAAACCAGTCCACCGGCCTGGCCAAAGCATACTTCGACGGTGCTCAATCGTTTTAGAAGCCGTCCCACAACTCGTCCACCGGCCTGGATAAAGCATACTTTGGCGGTGCTCAACCGTTTTGAAAGCCGTCCCTAAACTCGTCCCCGAGCTGGACAAATCATACGTCTACGGTGCTCAACCTTTTTAAAGGCCGTCCCAAAACTCGTCAATCGGCCTGGACAAAGCACACTTCAGCGGTGCTCAACCGTTTTAGAAGCCGCCCCAAAACTCGTCCCCCGGCCTGGACGAAGCATATTTCGGCGTTGCTCAACCGTTTTAGAAACCGTCCCAAAACCCGACCAGCGGCGCGGACAAAGCATACTGGCCTTGAAGCCGACGCTGGCGGTGGTGGAGCAGTAGTACTCGTCCACCTGCGCGTCCAGCACCAGGCTCAGGCCCAGGTGCACGCCCACGCCCACGGGACGCATGGGCGACGCGGACGACGGCGTGTGCGGCGGGAAGCCCGTCTCGGGCGTCCAGTCCACTTGCTTGCCCGGGAACGACACATTCAGGTCGCTCAGGTCGCGCCTGCAACACCACGCGCGGACCGGCTTAGATGGCTCTGCCTCTGACGGGGAGGGCCTTCAGTTCGAGTCCTGACGGTGTCAGGATTTTCGACACTGGCTAAATAGCGAGGTCGACTGTCTTAAGCGGAATTCTGGTAGCCGGCAGCTCTGATCTGTAGTTTCCCTGGCTTCTCCGATCAACACCAGCCGATCACCGGGTCAGTGCCCAGGCGTATGGCAGAATTGGCACGTGCCATGGGTGCCACTCACAAGTTGCGCTATTTAGAGCATTGCCGCTAAAACAAATAAAAACAACCCTAATTTGAATTATCTTGACAGGGGCGCAAATTCTATGCCTGCCATGGGCGCCTGGATACCTAAACACGACTTTGGCAGTGCCCTAATAATCGGGCAACGAATCGAGCGCAATCTTTTCTTTCTCTTTCCTGTCATGATAGGAGGGGATACCTAGTTGGGAAAACCCCGCAAGCCGACCTGTAGGTTGGCACCGATCTCTCTGTGCAGCTCGGAAGAACACCTACTGCGATACAAACATGCACAGTACTTACGATATTAATAAGCGATTGGCGCAGCCAGAAACAATAATCAATCAACACCAAGCGCCCGAAAGTGCGCAAAAATATTATTCGAAATACGCTCTGCAGAAATGTAATTGCCAGTTATTAATAAACCCTCAAACTAGAATCTATTTAGTAATCTTTGCACAAGAATGAAGATTAGAAACTACGGTTTTCAGAATGGAAGTCATGTATTATTAGAAATCTAGATAGTTAAAATAAACTTGATATGCAGAATTGTTACTTGTCGATCGTTTTTGTGCATTTCTTTGCCTTATGATTACGCCGTATATTATAGGGAAAAGGCAAGGGGTCGATGAAGCAAACAATAATTTTAAAAGAGGTCAATGAAAGGAATCTCTGCCGTAAACTATTCTTCTTCTCCCCCTTCGGGTCCTTCTCTCCTTACAACCCTTGGCCTTGCATAAGCTATTTATGTCCGAAATTCGTTCCAGCGCCTTAGTCACCCTTGACCACGCTGCATTCTCTTTGCGTAGTATAATTTAATTCTAATAAAAATGTTGTGAAATATACATGGTTCACATATGTAGTACATCTATATGTTTATTACACTATTTTTAGATTAGGAGCGAATACTTACGGGTTGCGAAATAGAAAATCTCGCTGCACCTTGTTGAATGAGCAGCATATTCCTTCGTCTGTGAGCGAAGGGTTGAAGTTATCGGAGCACTTCAGATCACTGCCACCGTACCTACAAACGTGGAGCAATTCGTGGCACGGTTGTCCAACCTGCCATGAATCATCGAATAATTAGTTCTTAATATGAATGTATCCTTAAGTACGATAGGAAACATATGGTCCATTTAGATTGGGACATTGAGTTTTAATTTCATGGCGTCTGCGGCAGGGAGGCGCTAAAGATGCTGCCCTCCTCCTTCAGGATTAGCATTTTTCCTAGCACTCTAAAATAATCTTTAGGCATAATACCTATCCATCGTTAGCGATATCCTCGATTCAAATACATCCGAAGAATCCATAATCTCGCTCGTTCTGAACTTCGGTTTCATTGGCTGCAGGTGCTCGTTGGCTCGCCGAAAACACGGCTCTGGGTCTTACAGACATAGTATTCACCAACTATTATACGATTTTTGTATAGCGGCCGTTAAAGTTAGGTTATTGTTACACCTCCTGCCTTGTAAAATGAATCTTTGTAATTAATTCGCGAACGTTCTTCTTAACGGGACACGTGGCCTCAGAAATGCACTTATCACTGATAAAAGGCTTCATATTATAAGGCAGGAGGAGCAACAATGACCTGTCATCGGCCGCTTTTAAAAAATCGAAGTATTGTGATCGAATCGTAACATGTGGCTTGAGAATGGCGTCTCATAGCGAAGGCTGCCAACGACAAGTTGACCAAATATTCTTCGGCACTATGGACCGATACGATGAGATGACAAAAGTTGTGGGTTAGAAGTATTCAAATGTGTAGTTGGCCGTAGTATCGCTTACAAAAGGTGTAAATGGGCGGTGCATTCATGTGAAAAGTTTCTGATATGATGATCGCCGCACGACGGGAATTAATAGACTTTTAACGCAGAATGGTGGTTGGAGCTTGATGCATGGCACGTTTCATTTCGGAAATCGTTAGGGAATTCACTATTCCGAGATCCATAGTGTCAAGAGTGTGCCGAGAATACTTAATTTCAGTCACAATCTTTATCCAGGCAGTAGCAGACGGCTTTCACATAATACCCGAGAGCTGCGGCGTTTGCATAGTTGTCAGTGCTAACAGACAAGCAACACTGCGTGAAATAACGGTAAAAATCAATGTGGTATGCACTACGAACTTATCCCTGAGGACAGGGCGGCGGAATTAGACTTTAATGGACTATGGCAGCAGAAGACCGACTTCAGTTCCTTTGTTAACAGCACGACATTGCCTGCAGCGCCTCTCCTGGGATCATGCCAATATTGATTGAACCGTACATGACTGGAAAATCGTGGCTCGGTCAGATGAGTCCGGTTAGTTAGTTAGTTAGTATGATAGTTAAAAAGAGATGATGTTAGGGTTCGAGTGTGGCGTAGATCCCACAAATCCGTGGACCCAAGTTCACGACAAGGAACTGTATAAGCTGGTAGTGACTCCATAATAGTGTGGTCTGTTTTTACATGGAATTAACTAGGTTCTCTGATAAAATTGAACCGATCATTGATTGGAAATGGTTATGTTTAGTTACTTGGAAACCATTTGCAGCCCTTCGTGAGCTTCATGTTCCAAATCACGGGTGCAATTTGTATGGATGACCATGTCACCGGGTCACAACTGTTCGCAATTGGTTCGAAGAATATTCTGGACAATTCGAGTGAGTGATTTGGTCACCCCAATTACCCGACACGAATTCCATTGAACATTTATGGGACATAATCGAGAGGTCAGTTTGTGCATTTAATCCTGCACCGCCACACTTTCGCAATTATTGTGGACGGTTGTAGAGGCAGAATTGCTCAATATTTGTGAAAGGGGGCTGCCAATGACTTGTTGAGTCCATATCACGTCGAGTTGCTGCCCATCGCCGGGCAAAAGATAGTCCGACACTGTACAAGGGCGTACCCCATGACTCTTGACACTTCAGTGTAAACTTACACTATTTCTTACGCTGCGTTAGTAGTTTGGTTGTGATCTCATGTAGGGTTAATCTTGTTTGTTATAGTATTAATTGTTAAGGCTACTGTGTCATCAATTTCAGCTGGAGTACTTACAAGTTTAAATTTCGATATCCTCTTAGCTAATTCTTGAATTTATACGGTGACATTACTTCTATCTAATATGAAGCCAAGAAAATCTTAATTATAGATTTGAAATTATGAAAATTTCAAGCCACTGACACATTCCATATTTAGTGACCTCTTTGGATTTTAATTCTTTTGTAATAAAGTAGTTAAATATTTCTTATGTTTCTTCATTAATTCAGACTTCTCAATTTTTCACGTGATTAGCTTTCTTTGATTCTCTCACTTTTGGGCGCCCTCACTGCAGATTTCCTTTAAAGCTGCAACTGATCTAGTATGCAAGCAGTATACGTACGTAGCATTAAAAAATTTACAGCATGCTGAAATATTTCGATGTTGAAGTTTTGATAATAATTTTTGGTTTTGGATTCTGATACTTAAGTTCGGAGATTGAATGTTTTTAATTGTAAAGATCAAAGTTGTACGCTAACGCCAACAATCATTTCAATAATGTTTCTCTTTAAAAGATCAGTGAATATAAGTGAAGCATTAAGATTTTAAATGAAGGTGGATAGGAATTTCTGCTACACTGCATTACCACATGTATGACTAGATCTTGGTGTATATAAAACATTTATATTACATTCAGCAACTTGTTTAACTCTTGTGTTCACAGTGAATAATGATGGCTTTGTTCCAGAATTTGTTAACCTCTTTCATTCAATTAGTCTTAGGGATTAAGTACTAAACGACATGAAACAATATTTTTGAGAGAGTATCGATTTTCATAATAGAGTTTTTGTTGTATTTTTCAGTAGTAACTTTTTCAGTTCTTCCTTTTGAGTAGTGTAATTGCAAAGGTTCAGCCACTTCAAATTTATTCCTTCACCTCCACTACTCTAGCCATAGGTTTCTTTCTCAATGGAATTTACTCATCAAATAGTAAATGGTGCTATGTCCAACGCGACCAACCTCCAAAAATATAAAAATTAAGCAAGGATCCTTTTTAAAAATGTTGCGTACGAACCTTCCAAGCGATTTTTCAATCTTATGGATTCTTTTGGCTCGGAAGTTATCTGTATAACGTCAATTGTAAATATTTAAATGATGCCATGCACTTTTTTAAAATATCAGAGTAATATCACTAAAAGGAGGAAACATTTCCGTATGCCGCACAGTCCCAATAGTTCCTTTATAAAATCTGAACTGAAAAATGTATCTTTAAATATAACTACGCACATTTTTATTGAAAAAATGAGTACACGTCGCGTAATTTTTCCTTGAAGTTATTGCAATTTATTTAAAAAATCTCAAAACGCACTAGACATTTTTTCCCTACATTTTTTTCTCGACTCATTCATATCAGATACTAATTTCGAGAATATATTGTCGTTTTACTTACCTTAACCAGAAAATTCTGAACGGTATCCCAGTGACCAGTGACATTGAGGTCATTGCTTTTTTTGTCTTCTCCTTTGGTAACGTTGATGTCGCAGAGGTCCTTGAGTAAGTTGTTTTCAAGTTCAGACCTGTAAACAAGATACATCAGTGCATGCGAATTTATCATGATCTTGTGAATGTACAATTAATCAATATTATGCATGAGGATGGATGAGAAAGTAAGATAAAAGTTTTCACGGACAGCCTCATACTCAACACGTATATTTATTAATTCATGTGTTGATGGGTTCGTGTGCAATCATATTTATTCATTCATTTTAATTTTATTTATTTTATTTATTTTATTTATTTTATTTATTTTATTTATTTTATTTATTTTATTTATTTTATTTGTTTGCTCACTTATATTTTGTTTTAGGGGTCTCTTCAACTTCTGGGGTAATTGAGATAATCTAATGATAGATACCAACAACGAGATCAATCAAAACGGAGGAACGTGGCAAGAGTTCGCTTTGTCCACCATAAATTCTGATAATTTGTAGCTACATATACACGTAAACAATCGTAGTGAAAATGGCCGAAAAATATGATCGCTATGGTGACATTGACCCAGAAACTGAGGTACAAGACTTGTTACGGGCATATTTAATCTTTTAGAATTATACAGTCTAAATGGTAACTAATACATTAGATATAATTGTTAAAACAAATATTATTTTCCTTTTTGATGCTCAGAATAGTTTCTAATTGTGTAGAAACATTTATGCAGCAAAAAAGGTTTTACTCGGCACTTGAACTTGTGTATCGATTTTATTTGTTTGATGTCATCTGACAGTGAGTTGTAAAATAACGAATATGTATTTTATGTGAATATTTTGTAGTGAGCTGTTGATACTGACACCTGATGAATATGATTTCTTAGCTGAGTATTATAGTTATAAATATCTGTAATATTTGAAAATATGTTCCCACTGAGAAAGCAATTGTTTACAAAACACACTGATTCGAAAGTCAAGAGGCGCGGATGGTAGAATTCTTAGCTTAATACAGTGGGACTTATAGGAAAAACGAGGGTGAATTTGCTGATTATTCGTACAATTTCTTTCAGTAATCTAAACATCTGGGATCTAGGATGATTTTCCCCAGAATATTATGCCGTATCTCGGGCGGGAAGGAACATTAGCACATTATACGAGATGTATGAAGGCTAAGGGAATTTTTAAAAATTCTGTCTGTCGTAGCGTAATGAACTTAATTTCGTTTTCAATATATGGATATTCCATTTGAGGTTTGACGTAATTGAGATACCCAAATGTTTTGTTACCTTAACATCAGTCAATGGCACATCGTTCCTATTGAATAGAGTGTACAATTATTTATTTGGAATGGAAAACTGCATTGAAACACTTTTCCCTTCGTTTACTATTAATTTATTATTAAACCGATTTGAAACATCTGCTATTGTACTGGCTGCTGTTTGTTTCTCGCAAAGAATACTCGAATCCTTTGTCTGTCTTGAACTGTTCTTCCGTCTCGAATCGCCGAGGCCATGTCTTTTACCTTCAGTAGAAAGATACTACAACCAAAAATTGAGTCCTGCGGAACTTAATGCGCAATTTGCAATGAATCGGAAAGGTGAGTAAATAATGTTCATTCCAGTACGGTATTTATATTCTCTGTTATCGTTTTTGTGATACGGACATAACCAATCTAGAACAATATTACAAATTCCTTGTGAAGGTATTTTTGAAAGTAAAATTCCTTCAATGACGTAAAATGCTTTTGAGAGATTAAAAAATAGTGCAATAAGTGCTTTATTTCGATCCATTGATGGAGCGTTATGTTTAAGAAAAGAAAATATGGCTGTTTTCGTAGATTTTTATTTTTTAAATCCCTGTTGGCAGCCCGACAATACTACGTATTTACTAAGAAAGGTTTGCATTTGTAAGTAGAAAATGGTTTCTTATATTTTTGAGAAAACTGACAAAGGGAAATTGGCCGATAATTTGGAATGTTATTTTTGTTTCCTTTTTTAAAGAGAGCTGTTATCATAGCTGTTTTGAAAATAAATGGAATATTCCTGTGCTTAACCCATTTCTTCCCAAGCATTGAAATGCTTACTTTTTTAACTTCTTACTGTAATATTAATAAATCATCTCCAAAGAGTGTAAATATACGCTCCAAATATTTTTGCGATTTTTGGTTTTGCCGGAATGGTACGTTGCGTTCACGCAACGTTGGGAGTTCTCCGGTAAGAATGAGTCAGATCAACATTCTAAAAAATATTCTATTTTCTCAATGTAATACACAATAAAAACCCTAGCATATATTGAAAATAAGTTTATTCATGATATAGTGAGCAACATTCATTATGCAAATGAACTTGACACTTTTTACATTTATAAATAGTTTGAATTTTGCAAATTTTATGTCTGCGACGCGCATTAGATACGTCACGAATTCTTACGTCTTTGTTTATAGCTTCAGGCAAACTTTTCTTGCCACAATGCCCGAGATGGAAATTTTTAATTCCATTTACTTCTTCTCTTCGGAGAAGGATGAGTACAATTTCTGATCTGAAATCAATTTGACTTGTCTTTACTCCACTTGCTAAGGTGCACAATTTCCAGGCATTTACAATAGCACTATCTATACCATTTGTAAAAAAGGGCCACCACCATTTTTTACCTCTTATTCGTATCCATTAATTTGCAATAGCATTGTCATGCAAATCTACAACGCCCATTCCCTGATTGTACTGAAATATGGTATTGGCCATTTCATGTTTTTTTCTTACGGTTATTCCGTTTCGTGTTCACAAGAGGTTCCAAAGTACCGACATTTGTTGCCACTGTGACTACTGAATTGTCGTGCCATCTAACTGAGAAAATCTTGTTTTCTTTGTTCATGATGTAGTCATATGTTCCTTTACTTATAATAATGTCATATGAAACGAAAATAATATTATTATAAGTGCAATTTTTAATTGTTTTCCTTGTTACACAGTGAACACATACCTTTAATATAGTTGTTCCCTTGCAAATCCACAAAAAAGAGATTTAATCTCAAGCATTTTATCGCAATAGAAAAAAAACTGCGAATGTTTCACGTCTCCGAAAGCACGCGCACTACTGCCTCAAAGCAAAAGAGAGAAGCTTTCTAGACGATCCTTTTTTGTTTTCAATTCCCCGAAGAGTCTACTAATAGATTGGACACGTGCTTATCTTAAAATTTTGGTGACAGAAACTTCTAACATGACAGAATATTGCTGTGTCAAATTCCCTTTCCAATTATTGGGTTCTGGGATCTGGCGAGTATCAGATACCAAGCGCGCGTGCGCACCACCGGTCTACTGGAAAACTCCCAACGTTGCGTGAACGCATCACGATATTTATTTACCTACAACATCCGTTTCAAGAGTCACTTCTCGTTCAAACTTTTAAACTTGTCTTTATATAACATATACTTCCCACTATCATTATAAACTACTTCACAGTTCATCGATTTTAAAAGAAAAAAAATAGTACCCTCATGTAGTAAATTACTCTGCACAACCCAAAAAAAATAAATTAATAAGTCAGTACCAATATATTTACGAATCACAATGAATTAAATGTATGGTGTAAAAATTCATATGCATTTGACGTCATGCAAATAAATAATGCAACTGACGTCATGCGACCGTTAGACTCCATGGAAGAAGCAATCTGCCAATAAATACATAGACACACAAAAAAATCATTTTCACGATGGGTTTTTGCGACAGAATATCGACTCCCTCCTCAGGAAAAATAACGTATTGAAAGCATATATAGTACATTTGGTTCATATACATAGTACGTGTGATAAAAATTTAACTCTTCTGGAGATTGTTGATAATACGGATAAAGACGATTGCTTCGTGGTGTTTCAGCTAGTCAGAATATTTCAACAGGTTCAGACGACGTGCATAACGAAATTAGAGACATATCTCCGATTTAAAATGTCGTGTAATTGGCATGGAGACAAGAAAACATCGTAGATTTTGATATCTCAGAGAGTTGGCTGTAGAGCAATGACTGCAGAAATGGACTGACTGCAGAATGGATTTTTTGACAGTTTTAAATGGTTTTGTCAGTTAGCCCATGAGAACATATTTACTTATTTTAATTTGAACAGCCCCAAACTTTTGAAAATAATGGCTGAATTATTTTTATTCTCGAATACTACCACTGAGGTCCCTAACCTGAAGTATTTTTGTCATATAAGCCTTTAATTTCAGAGATGTTTTTCAATTTTATTGGTTCAAAATTCAATACGTGTGTGAGTGCTCTTAGACAAAGACTAAAGCTAGCAGAACCCATAATACAGAAAAAACCTACGAGGCCTAAAATTCTGGAATACGGGACATAATTAGCCAAAATTTGCATTTAACTTTTCCTAAGATTTTCTTGAGTTTTAAGTTACCTATGTATCTAAAATGTATTATTCAATTGTGTATAAAGCTTATTCGCCTACATTCCGAATATATCGCTTAGATAATTGGAATGCGAGTGTTGAACTATACATAAATGCAGTTCATACCCCTTGAGCAGTATTTCGTCCACGACGGATTTCTTTGCTCGATTCATATTGCATACGGTGACGGCTGGGAAGGGAATTTCAGTTATCTTGGTAGCGTAGGGTGACAGCGACACGATCATAGGGTTTTCTTTCCATTTGTCGTAGAGGAAGAGGATATAGTACACGGCGGCCACGAGCGCTATCAGGAACACGATCAACCAGAAAACTCTGTGGGCAAAAACAAAACAAAACTGTAAGCGGTAGGAATACGAACGAAAGCGGGCAATTATTCACACTATTATGTAATTCAATAAAATAATCGTTACTTATTAATGTATTTAAAATCACGTGTTTCATTTCGTTTTATTGAAGGTACAACCCAAAAGTCATAAAAACTTTAATTTCTCAAGGAAACTAGGGAAATGCATTCTGGCATAGACATATAATCGTACCCCTGATTTGTAAGGTTTCGATTTGACATAAATTTACAAAATATAAAAGAGAAAACGAGGCAGATAGAGTCGGTGGTTAGAACAAAATGCAGACTGCAAGAACAAATGGGAGGCACGAGCAAACAAACCAGCCAATCGTCGTCTACTCACATCTGGCGAACGTCTCGCATCACGCATCTTTAGAAGCCAATTGAATGTTTACGAATTCTACGCCAGTGTATTCTTAACGTGAGTGCAATGGCAGAAGAAAATCTTAGGAAGATTGTCACTCATGAACATGTCCGTCGTATAGGCAGAATAGATATAAGCTCTCTGATTGCTCCGGATTATCCGCGAGACTAATATTCTGAAAATAAGAGTAACAACAGGTCATGCAAGAAGAGGATCTGTTCTTCACGACGGGGGATTCATGTCAACAACTGAATACTGTGAAGCTTGCCAATTAATGAATCATAAATTATACTGACACAAATTAAGTGCATTCTCTACTACGAATTTAGCTACATACCACACTTAGAGCAATAAAATCTATTCAACAATTCAACTTATAACTGTGACGATCATCCTTAGTTGACATGTTTACGATATAAATAATAATAAACTTTCACTATTCTTCTTCGTGTACAGATATTCTTTGCTTTTAGTCGTGTTTCCGCATGTTCGTTATAATTAAGAATACCTTCTTTATGTCCACTTTATTTTTAGTGATTTAACTGCCTTTTATTTTCTCGCCTTACTTAAGTATTGTAATCGTTCTCCAAAAAAACAGCGATTTTTCGACAGAAAATCTCTTAAAAATATGATTTTAAAATTACCATGTACTATTTTTTAGAAAACACGTTGTTTTCCTGTAATTTCTGCTTTAACTTAATGCAATTTATGAAGTGAACGACGTCAAAAGTATGTACGGTCGAGCGACTGAATGGTGTAGGGGTAAAACGCACGGAGAGCTTAGTGGACCTGACTTCGATTTTCTGCGCGGAAAAAAATGGGTGGTTGGAAACGTTTTGCACGTTCATGCAGTTGTACAATATTGTGGAACTGTTACACATAACGCGAGAAAGTATGTGCTGTCTTAGCATCACTCGTTTAACATACAATCTAAGCTCGAGATTAGATTTTAAATAAAGTCACGTAATTTTGTTTAAACATATGAGTAGTACTTGCGCAATTTTTAGAGAGACGTGAGAACTATAAAAGTTACGTAAACATTTTTTTCAAATCTGCCAACGAGTTTTTTTTACAAACTCCTCCGATTTTTATTAAAACCTAAATTTTCGAAAATTGCAAATGTTCAACTTCGGCAAGGTTATACGCTGGCTCGGTTGGTGCAGTGGTTACGTTACTTCCTGCACCTCAATATCATTACTTTATTAGTGTCATGTAAAGAAGCTAAGCAGGTATTAAAGGCCTTAATTTTGTTCAACGTTGAATCAAATTAAAACGTTTGCTAGCAAATCTTGTCGATGGCATCCTTTGAACCTACGAGGTAGAGCTACGGGTTGGGATGGTTTGCAGGCATGGCAGAGGCGTCGGCATCGTAAAATTATTTTTAAAAAAAGTTGTATTTGATCGACACTCTCGTAAGAGTACTGAACTGTTTGCAGGGCGTATGGCAGTGGACCCCGACGGGCGCCAGGCACTCACCGCTCGACGATGTGCAGCTCCTGGTCGCCGACGTACTTGAGGCCGTGCAGCGTGGTGCGTCCGCAGTAGTCGCGCCCCAGCGCTGAGAGTTCCTCGTGCAGTCGCAGGCGACATGGTTGGCTGGCGTGTTTCTATTGTGGGCGTCGGGGCGGCGGGTCGGCAGGGCGGCGGCCCGCCCCCGCGCGCCGCGCTGCCCGCCCTCCAGCGCCGCGTCGCCCGCGCTCGGAGGCTGTGCCGTGGGCTGGCGCTCGGCGCGCAGCCTGTTTGGCGGTTTGCGCGCACGAACCACCAGGCGAATCGGCCAGGCTTGGAGGCGCCGTCCGGCGCCCAGCCAGCGTCAGGTAGTTGGCGGCTGGCCAAAGGCGCTCGTGGCGCGGCGTCGCGTCTAGATCCGCTGGGCGCCTCGGGCACAGCAGCTTTCCATGCTGCGCTCATAGGCGCACGCGTAAAGAAAGTCCTCGTCGCCTCTCATGTGCGGGCCCTGTCAACCGCCGCGCTGCGGCTCAGCCTACCGGCTGCCTCCCCCCGAACAGTCGATGGAGCTTTAGTCACGAGCTGGCAGGACACAGTCAACCAATCGCGACCTTCGTTACGTCGTACATTTTTGGGATTGAAACTCTCGATTGGATGACTGTGACCCCCCTCCTGCCATCTCGTGACCTTGAAAGAACTTCCTGTTTTAATCGAAGAAGAGAGTTCGCGTTAGAAAATTGCAAGCTTCAATGTCGCACCAAGCGAGTGCGCTGCTGCCTCATAACGATCCTCCTTTCTCCCCGGATGCAATACTATTGGGAGCAGAAGTCCAATTTGTCTCAAGGGGAACACGGTGGTCAATCCGGTCAACCCGTTTGACATCGAAAGCATTGTTCGGAGGAACTGACCGTCCAGGTGACCACATACGAATAATCAGAATTGAATTCTTAGTCTGTGGCATTTTACATAAAACGGCATATCCTGACAGGCAATAAGAACAAAATGCAGAAGTAGAAAATATTGTAACCGCCTGCTATTCCTCTAAAAGGGCAGGTGGCACATTTAAAGCCCATCGGCGGTTTCGGATTGCGCAGCATATCTGACAGTCGAGCACAGGCACCAGAGTTAACGTTTCCTGATAAGCATAGAAGTTAAAACAGATGGAAGTGGGCACCGTCGTGGATGGAAAGGCCTCAGAATGTTGGTCGGGCCAGGCGGGAAGAAACACCGAAATATCGCTGCAAGGGTCTACGTTGGGAGGGGTGCGTCTTTCGAATATTAATGACATGAAAATTCAGGTTTTGATTCGTACGATGATGATGGGAATTTGATTGCAGTAATTAATAATAATTACTATTATTGTATTATTTTCATTATTTGCGTATCCGCTACATGTTCTTTCCCGAGCCCAGTCATATTCTATCCCGGAGAGCGGTTAACGTGTGTCATTATAGGGAATAGCTTTTCGGCTGTGTCCCTTGGTAAGACAAGATTGTTAAACCTTGTATTAATGAATTAAGAGGTGATAAGACTATGATAAGAGGTGATCGTGGCCTTTTTGAACCATTCCAGCCTGTGTCTATAAAACATTACAAATGTCTCTAATAACAGAGTCATTAGGAATAACAACATAACTCGTTCCAAAGTTGTCGATGCCGTTAGTTATTTTAAGAATATTGGGGATTCCCCCAATTCACTGATCATTGGATTCCCTCGTCCAACATTGAGTGTGTCGTTCGTCATTGACACTCTCAGTTGTAGGTGTCTCTTAATGTTCACGGTAAACATAATTATTCTATTTGTATTGTTTTATGTAATTTGTATGTTGACAGTGCACACAATTTTTTACCAAATATTTGTACTCGGCCCTTATCAAATAAGCTAGGGGTTATCAGGGATTATCATTCGTTCCCGAGGGATTCTCAGGCCCAGTGACCACGGATACTTGCAAGTCTATATAAAAAATAAGATTTGTAAAGATGTAGAATATTCCTGTTTTTGCGCAAAATATGCAAGTATATATTGTTGATAAACAGGGGGCGGATTTTAATGAAATGTCATTTTTTGTTTGCACTTTAGAACAATGCCGTTTAGTATATAAATTCATTTTATGTTAAGACAAAACGAAATGACCCATTTCTATATGTCATTTTTTTTGCATTTTTTATCGATTTCTACTAATAAATATTTTTTTTACCTTTTTGCGTCATTTTTGCTGCATTTTTTGCTGATTTCATCGATTTTAATGTTTTAATCGTACTTGCTTAAACAATATTTACGAAATGCAAAAATGTTCACTACAGAATTCCTGAGAAGTATATTCGATTTGTTCGCAGCGCCATTGTCAGTTCGGCCGATTTTGCGATAAATAAAGGCTGAGATCTTTTAAAGAACAGTCCAAACCAAACACGTTTGCAGGCTGAGATCACTTGAACTAAAGGAAGAAGCCTCGATTACATTAGTAACATACCCAACAACTTGACGTGTTCATCTGAAGTGGTTTTGATCAAAATTTGTACATTTTTCTTTATTTTAAAGCATTTTATTGACCATTTTTGACAAAGTTTTGGGTCATCAAAATTTGCGCCAATTATATTCTCAGAAACGGCATCAATTTTTGTCTTTAAATTTTCTCGTTGGTTAAAAATTGGCACAGGATTGAATTTCAGTTGTTTATCTGAAGTGGTTTGATCAAATTTTGATGAAATTTCTAAATGTTCGAAATTTTTCAAACGTTTGTAATAATGCGAGAAAGTACGTGCTGTTTTGCACCACTACTTCATGCATTTCAGAAAGTTAACTAGTAACTAGAAGGTATGTGTGTTATGAGCAATGTTTCTAGACACACATGCTGCCCTATCAACCAGGGTGTTGCGAACAGTTACTCGATCACCCTTCGCGTGCAGGAGAGCATTGCGTGTGTATTTGGCATTTGCTTCACAGGTTGACAGAGTGCTAATGTTCGACGGAAATTTTTTGACAGACGCTTTTATTTTCTTGGACATTTACGGTCAAAGCCAAATTTGAATATATGAGCCAATGATAAGTTTTGTGTAGTTTGCAAAGAATTAATTTACGAAATTACATGTTTTGGAAGTACAGAACATTACAATGTTGGCCACAATTTGGAATAATACATTTTATTTCAACGAATTCAACGACCCCCCTATTGTTACCATAAAAATGTTTCAAAAAATGAAAAATATTACGAAAAAAGTGGAAGACATACATAATTCCTTACCTAAATACATTAAGTTATGAGGGGTAAAAGATATGGGTACCTGTATGAACGTAATACATACAGGTCCACTTGATTAATCACATAAGGCATATTGTACACTCAAGATCAGTTTGTGCATACGACACAAAAGCCGTATTACTTCACGTGAATGAACGTATTATTAAAAACATGATATGAACATTCCGTATGAATGAATTCACTGCAAACTGACACCGATTGAATTCCGCGAGAACAGATCTATCTTGCAAAAATGTAACCTGAGGTAGAAGAGCGATTTCAACTTCCACCAGTCTCATGGGTTTCGACTCCCGAGGTAGACATTTCTCCCCGTAGCATGTCACATACAGTTTTTAACTGTTTTGACGTAAAATATGAAAATAAAAAAAGACATAGTCATGCTATATTGATTGTTACAGGCCCTGTATTTTGTGACTCTGTGCCCTAATCAGGGTTGCTGCAGTGGGCAGTCCACTTGGCATGACCATTTGTGTGCCAGTCAGCCAGATGGAAGCCACTGTAGCTGGCCGCCGCCAGGAATCTGGTTCTATCTATTGCATTTGAGATAAACATTAAACGTTTTATGATTACCACTATAGACTTTCCTGACATTTCGGAATGTAACCGCTTAATTACATATTTTCGTTAAAAATGCATTCAATAGTAAAATAATTATTGTAATTAACGAAAGCAACATTAAGTATTATTAAATGAAAATGGCTTCCCAAGATCGTGATAAAAATTAGGAACACTTTTTGGAGAACTCGTTCATTTATAATACGTCAATAACATTCACAGCTACACGTACTATTTCACTTACCTTGGAATGTTTTCAGCTCCTTGTCAGTCATATAAGTAAGTATATATTTTGATAGTCCTATGATTTTGATTGGCCTTTGATAGTTCATGGCGTCTCCGTGAATATTTTCGAATCTGGGAAGGCAGAATGACCATGATCACTTTGAGGAAGGGAACAGGAATTTTTGAGGTTCACGAGGCGTATTTCAAAAGTTTCCAACAAACCAAATAAGAAAGTTAATGTGTAAGAACAGTTATTAATAGAGTTATTGATAACCTTAACGCACACATTAATGCTTAGGACTTCTCCCCCCAAAAAAGATTAAAACATTGTTCACTGCCAGTCTCGGTGACAAAAAAAAAAAAAAAAAAAAAAAAAAAAAAAAAAAAAAAAAAAAAAAAAAAAAAAAAAAAAAAACGAAATAAAAACGAAACGACAAAAAAAACATAATTATCAATCCGTACACAAATTTCGAATTCACCACAATTTTAGTAATTAGAAAGCGTGTTCATCATCAATATAAAAATATTCCTTGTTGTGAAAAAAAGGTTTCGCCTTCACACTTCCTACTGTATTCCTACCTCAATTTTATGGCTCGAGAAAACTCATTGCCGAACAGCTCATATTTGCTCGCATTATTTCTAAATTTTCAATTTTCGAAAATTTACAGAGTTCAACGAAAATGAAACCAGTGCCGTTCTTTTAAGCGTTTTTGTCCTATCCACGGGGAAAAAATTATAAAAATAATTTGGTGCGGTTTTTGAAAAAATGTTTTTTTAATAAAATTCATTTATTTCAATCACAAATTACGCGACAACTCGTTGTTTCAAAAAAATGTACGTGAACTTTTTTAAAGGAGTGATCTTTTATAACGGATATTATTTTAGACAAAAATCACTGTCTTCAAATTTGTAGTTTGGATTCATTGATTAATTGTTAGTGATTCCGGGCGCGTCCTCTTTTAGGGTCATTAGTCCTGTAAGTGTAGTGCATATTTTTTCTCGGGAGGTGAGGGTTGTGGTCTTCTACCGCGTAATGGCAAGATCTGGCACCGGCCTATCGTCGGAGAGCGGGAATTTCACCAACCAGGTATCTCCCACCAGCGGGGC